ATACCTTGCTCCATGAAAGAAGCCCCCAGCTACGTGACACTCCAGGTCACCTACTGCAGAAGTGTAGGGACACAGGGGACAAGCTTGGGTCTGCAGTTGACACTGGTGAAAGCAGATGGTCAGAGACCAGATACCTTGCTCCATGAAAGAAGCCCCCAGCTACGTGACACTCCAGGTCATCTACTGCAGAAGTGTAGGGACACAGGGGACAAGCTTGTGTCTGCAGTTGACACTGGTGAAAGCAGATGGTCAGAGACCCCCAACTCCTGAAAAAATGGTTTCCCCTGGGGAAAGATGTGGCTAAAGGATGGATTGTCCTTTCTAGAAATCTGGAACCTTAAAAAAAAAAAAAAACATGTTTTCTTATCAAATATTCCCACAACTACTGAGAGTCCCCTTGCCCACAGCACTCATCTTGGAGTGAGCCAGCCTACACAGCAGCCAGGAACTCTAGTTTTCTTCTCCCCCTCTCTGAGGGCTGGAAGAATGCCAGTCTGGAACTACAGTGTCCCAAGCAGCCCTGGTCCTTCCATCATCTGCAAAAGTTGTGTGACTTTTCCTTAGCAGAAGTGAAGAAATGTCTGCTTGCCCCAGATGGGACACTAACAGGCCAAAGAAATTATTATACTCAAGCCTAGCTTAGTGAAGCAGTGGTTTGTTGGGATTATTCACAGAAGCACAGGTTACTTAGAGGAACACCACATCAGGAAAGCTGCATCCCTGGAGCTCGGCAGGAGGTGTCTTCTCTGCCCAGTAACTGTTGGCTACTTTTATTACCTTGGGGAGCAGGTTACTTAGAGGAACACCACATCAGGAAAGCTGCATCCCTGGAGCTCTGCCCAGTAACTGTTGGCTACTTTTATTACCTTGGGGAAAGCCTCATGAATCTTGTTTCGTGAAATTCCCTGCTTTTATGAGTGTTCGTCTGTCCTTCCTCTAGGAGGGACTATTTCAATTCAGAGTAAACAGCTATATGCAAGCTGGTGAAGGAGCTTCTGCCACAGTGGCATGACAGAACTTGATGGTGGCTATGTGATGGGGAGTAACTGCTGCACTGGACCTCTGAGGAGTTGTCTAGTCATATGTCACATAGGGCATCAAGGAAACCTGAGCCATCCTGCCCGTATAACTAACCCCCAGCATGGGTGCTGGCTGCTGCTTTTCAGTGGCCTCTCAAGAGATCTTCCAAGCCATTCCACTAACTAGAAAGGAATGGCAGCCCTCAGTGGTCTCTGCCCTTTGGCTCAGCCTGGTTCTTAGTATGCATGTGTGTCAGCTCAAATGCCCAGGGCTCCCTGAGGCTGTGGTCACCCCCAGAGGACACCTGCCTCTCAGTTCTGTGTCTGTGTCCAGGGGGTGTTGGCCCAGTAATCATAAAGGATGGTGTCTAGCCTCTCCCAAAGCTCTCCCTCTACAACTTAGGCAGGGTTCTGCCTCATCGTACACACAGTGGCAATGGCAATGCCTTCACAGGGCAGGCATTTCATAAATATTACATAAATTGACTAGTTAATTGATTAACCTGCCTTAGTAACTTGCACCACTCTCTAAATCCTTCCTTACTGAGAGAGACAGTCTTCCCTGCTGAGCAGTAGTAGCTCCTCACCCAGCATCACTATCTCTGTCTTCTTGCTCTGTCTCCCCTGGAAATGGGTTCAAACGACCCGTGCCTTGGCCACATGTCCTGTTCTCCAGCCCCTGAAGTGCCATTGCTATCACAAACCCCTGCACACAGTCCAGAGGTTCCACAATTGCTAGAGTTGGGTTAGTGCTACAGAAAAGGCCTGGCCCTCGGAAGGACCAAGGAAAAGCTCCAGGCATGCTTACAGAACAGCAGCACCTGGAGAGAAGTTGGGGTTCCTCTTATTCTAGTTGGACCCTCATTTTATATCTACCCTACCCCTGGTCTACCACCCTGAGAAGTGATGTCCAGGCATGCCCTTTTATTTTCATATCTGGTGAGCATTTATTGGGTACCTATTATCTTTACCTAGCAAATACTCTTGTTATACAAGTCTTAGCTCCAAGCCTCAGAGACATGGTAGCAGTCAGGTCTGCACTGCATTTTTTGAAGCAATTGAATCAAAGTCCACAAGGAGGCCTAGAGGTCTAGGTGTGACCTTCACATACACACACACACACACACACACACACACACACACACACACACACACACACACACACGAGGGGGCTCACAATGACCTAAAGAGAGCAGTCTCTCTGTGAAGCCTCAATAAAGGATACTGGACCATTGTTAGAGCCTAAGTTTCAGAGGACTCTATATCAAGATTCCCATGGCCCAGCCAGTCTCCCTCAGGACCAGGGGCAATGTCCCACCACAGCCAATAACAGGAACGTGTTGATCTGACCAATGACCAGAGCCCTAGGATATCTTGCTGGAGTCTAGGATCTGGCCAAAGCCAAGGCAGGTCTGGAATCAGATGGGTGAAAGCTGGCTAGTGGATGGGGAGCCCCTAGCAGTGGGTGAGGGCATGCCAGGCATGCTCCCCAAGCAAGGCTCAGGCATGGAACCTCATGATGATAGACCCTTTCCCCCCAAGTGGGGGCAAGGCGGGGTGGCATCAGAAGGCCAGCTAAGGCCCCAATGGAAGTCATGGAAGCAGTACCCCGCCTAAGTGCCATGTCTCTAGACCATCAGCTCTTGGTCAAGAAATACTGCCACACTACCCCACCCTACCAAGGATCCAGAGGAACTATGTACACATCTGGCTGCTTCCTTCTGAACCCTGGAAGTCTGTGGGTCTGCAATGCCTGCCTGTGCACACTGCTGTGGTTGTGGCTTGTGGCTCTGGGTAGGCCTGTGGTGGAATAGCATCACTGGCTTCCAAAGAGGGGTGGGCTGGAGCCTGGGAGAAGGCTGGAGTCTGTGGGCAGCCTTGTAATTTAATTATTTGACTGCAGAAAGGAGCTCTCATCTACTCATGCTCATCCTTGTTAAGCTAATTGTCTGTCTCCTTCATTCTCCTCTCCCCCCATGAGCTAGGGAAGTTGCTGCCGCCTAATTGAGTTATCATAAAGATAATGGCTGATGTTCCCGCCAGTGCCGAGAGAGGAGGATCCATCTCACAGCGACTCAGGCTGCAGACAGGGCCCTCCACCCTCACCCCAGGGGCTGAGATGAGGGCAGCTGGGTGCAGAGAGTTATACCCAAGGAGTCTACCCTTGTGGCCACCTGACAGATAACAGGCTCTGTTTTCACACCCTGGAAGACAAAAGGGCCTGCCTTATAAACATTGTGGTTTTTCCTGAAGAGGTAGCTATTATACCGCTTAGTGAAAAGAACCTTGACTTGGGGAGCAGATAGATCAGGTTTCAAGTCACTTCCCACAACCTACCTCAGTTATGGCTCTTCTGAACTTCAATCTTTCCATCTGTAAAATGGGACCATCAAGCTCCAGGTCCATGGCTAGTAGAAGAATTCAGTGAGATACCTACGCATATATAAAGTTTCTACACGCTGATGACCATGGGGAGGGGCAAGTTAATGAGAAGAGCAGGTTTGGAGACACCTACTTTAGGCAAGTCCATCTGTAAAATGGGACCATCAAGCTCCAGGTCCATGGCTAGTAGAAGGATTCAGTGAGATACCTACGCATATATAAAGTTTCTACACGCTGATGGCCATGGGGAGGGGCAAATGGATGAGAAGAGCAGGTTTGGAGACACCTGTTTTAGGCAATTAGTCATGGCGAGGGAAGGAAGACAATCTACACTGGCCTTCCTCACCTCTCCCAGTAGACCTCATCTCCACCTAGCCCAGGCCCCCAAAAGGCTGGGAGATGGATGCCAAGATGAGAAAAACTATACACAAGCTAAACAGTGAGTCAGGAAGCACATGAGCCAAATTCAAGGACCAATCTGAAGGTTGGACAGGTTAAGACAGAGCCCGGGAGACCTGGCCTAGGTATGCAGGTGGACAAGAGCCAGGGCAGGGCATGCCAGGAGATGCTGCATTCAGATGAGAAAAAAGTTCCAGAAACCTGGGGTCTGCCCCAGGGTCAGTGCAAGCCAGACCCCCACACACAGCTGACTGGAGTGGGTGAATAGCATGAGACCCATAATACCCCCTTGTCCCTCCAGTGCCCCCTCTGATCCAGCCCTTTGAGTTCCCGCCTGCCTCCATCGGCCAGCTACTCTACATCCCCTGTGTGGTGTCCTCGGGGGACATGCCCATCCGCATCACCTGGAGAAAGGATGGACAGGTGATCATCTCAGGCTCGGGTGTGACCATTGAGAGCAAGGAATTCATGAGCTCCCTGCAGATCTCCAGCGTCTCCCTCAAGCACAATGGCAACTACACTTGCATTGCCAGCAACGCAGCAGCCACCGTGAGCAGGGAGCGCCAGCTCATCGTGCGTGGTGAGCGGGTCAGGCCAGCCTCTGGAAGGGGAGGGGGGCCAAGAGCATCTTTCTAGAGTTCCAGTTGGAATTACTGGCTCTTGGTAAGTTGGTTCTGGCTGGGTTCTTTCAGAGAGACCCCAGTCTCTTCCTTTCAGGCCTGGAGTGGAAGGCATCCTTACTTTGTCAGCTGTGGGCACAGGCAGGATTGGAACTCAGAACTCTGAGCTCCCACTGCAGTACTTGCAAGAGTTCTCAATCTTTTCTTGACTTCACAGGCTGTCTACGCCCAACACTGTAATGATCCAAGAAGGGCTGACATCTGCTGGAAGAGGCCCCTTACTTAGGGGACTCAGCCAACTGATGGCCTCTTTTTCTCCCTGCTTCCCTTCTTTCCACAGTGCCCCCTCGATTTGTGGTGCAGCCCAACAACCAGGATGGCATCTATGGCAAAGCTGGTGTGCTCAACTGCTCAGTAGATGGCTACCCACCACCCAAGGTCATGTGGAAGCATGCCAAAGGTGAGTTAGACAGTATCTGTGAGAGGAGCAGGGGAGGACCAGGAAGCTGCTCCGATGGGCCCAGGACTGTTCTTACATGTTCAGTAGTGTACGCTGAGCTTAGGGACCCCTACATCTGATGATACACAAATCATTCTCAGCCACGCCAGGCTGAGACACATGATGCTGAATCCAAATTTCCTGTTTGCTGTTTGTGATGCTAAGGATCAAACCAAGAGCCTTGTGCAAGACGGGCAAGCCCTCCGCCACTGAACTATATCCACAGCCCCCAAAGCTCCTCTTGTCCCTACCATCTTATCTCCTGCAACCCTAAAGCTACTTTGTTTTGCTTTCCCACTCTGCCCTACCCACCCTAGGGTCCTATCTAGTCTGAGATCTTGGTCCTCTCGCAGCCCAGCCTCATCACAAGGATACACTTGATATCCAATTAGACACCACACTGATAGATTGTCCATGACTAATGTTGGGATTGGAGAGGTACCCAAGACCCTCCATGGAAAACAGGTGGCCTCTTCCCCAGGCCTGACTGCACTTTGGGATGATGTGACTATGCTGTGAAACATTCCCAGATGGGCAAGAGAGCTTAGCCAGGCCTTTCCTAAGTACTAGGTTACACCCACCCCCAACACCAGCCTAACTGCTGCCTCCTTCCAGGGAGTGGGAACCCCCAGCAATATCACCCAGTGCCCCTCACTGGCCGCATCCAGATCCTGCCCAACAGCTCCCTGCTGATACGCCACGTCCTGGAAGAGGACATTGGCTACTACCTCTGCCAGGCCAGCAACGGTGTGGGCACCGACATCAGCAAGGCCATGTTCCTCACCGTCAAAAGTGAGTATTGCCCCCACTCCAGCCCTGCCAAAGCCCAAGAAGGCCAGTCTTGGCTCTCCCCATGCTTACCCATCCTCCCCCTGGGATTCTGCTATTCTGCCCAGAAAGAGCAAGGTTGCTCAGAGGTGAGTTTGAGAGCCTCCTGGAGACTTATCCAAAACAAAGCCACACTCTAGCCTGTCTCAAGTCAAGATGGCAGGTCCTCAGAGCTTCCTGGTAACTTTGGACCATTGTCAGTTGGCAATTTAGTCTCAATACCTAAATCAAGCTACCTCTTTCTGCTGCTTAGTACATACTCAGCTGTGTAAGCCTGTTGACTGACTCAGAAGGAAGTTACCATATCCACCATGTAGATTGGAAAACTGGGTTCCCAGTCCCGGTCAGGCTAATGATCTATGTGACCTAGGGAAGACCATTTTGTCTCTGGTGCTCTAGTCTTCCCTCTTACTCTAAGTGTTCACTCCCAACATACAAACCTTCTAAAACTGTTTTGAACAATACAAAACTGAGGGTAAGTAGAAGTGTGTAGGGGCAGCACAGCTCTATAACTTGAACTCATCAGGGAATAGCTTCGGCATTCCCTAGCCAGAGCCACCTTGATGGCCCTGGAAGCCACTGTTCCTCAGCTCTCTGAGGTCCATTAAGAACCACAGAAGCCATTCCTGCTGGGTAAGCCTTACCCCTTATTCATGGGTCCCCAAGAATCACAGGGCAAGTGTTCCTGTGGTCCTGGGTCAGGAAATGGACTTTGGACGGTGGTGATAACAACTTAAGTTTTGGTGTCCAACAGCCAAATGTGATTCTGGGAACTGTGATGTCACTACTATGGAACTCTGATAAGCACACATGTCCTCCTTAAACCACATTTTCCCTATCTACAAAGATGATATAATGGCCCAAAGTTCAGTCTGTGCCCAGCCCTTCATGTATGTCCTCAGTCAGTGTGGCTCTGACTGAGCACAGGTTTGGCCACCCATAGCTTTCTTTCCAGATTCCTTCTAGGGTAGCTGCAGAGAGCTACAGGACCTATGTGCAGTCCACCCTGCACCTCCTGAGAGCTCCCTCTGTGAGCAACCCTGGGCTTTAACCAGAAGGGAAGCCCTGCCAGGAGATCAATGCTTAGGGAGCTCCCCTGCCCACCCCCACCCCGGTGAAATCCCCACACTAGGAGCAGCCTCCCTCCCACCATCAGAAAGCACTTTGTCCTTAATAAAGCCAGGCAATCAATCTAAATCCCTCAGCCAGGGAGAAACACAAGGGGGAAGAGTTGCTCCCCTGGACCTGTCCTTGCCAGTCCATCACTGACAGTCTCCTCACTGTCAGCAAAAGACCCAGCTCTCTGCAGCACTGAAGTTCACTGTGCAGAGACTGCCCCTCGGGGGAAATGTGGATTTCCATAGGGAACAGAGCAGCATGGGGCACAATGGTTGGAAGGTAGAGAGTGTGGGAGGAGCCCTGGCTCATGCCCAGTTGGACTTGAGATGAGTCACCTCACTTCTGGGGACTGTAATATTGTGTGCTGGCTGTGCCAGCCCAAAGAAGTGAGGAAGCAGTTATGGGGGTATTAGGTCTTTATCTCTATCTATCTATCTATCTATCTATCTATCTATCTATCTATCTATCTATCTCCCCTGTCCCTTTCACACACCATAGCTCAGCACTTCACAGAAAGCTCCTTTGCTGTGGTCCCCTCTTAGATACTAGTTTTCCACGCCATTCCTCACTCATACTGCTACTCTCCTTTCCATTCTGACCTGAGTCTCCCCAACAGTCTGCTCCAGCCATGCTGAAGGCCCTCCAGCTACCCCAATACTGGTGGAGGGAAAGGCAGACAGAACCAGGGATGTTTGGGGCCCAAGGCTGGGCCTAGGCGGGTCTCTATCTGGGTCTGACCACCTCCATATAGCAGCCCAAATACCTAGCTATTGGAAGACCCTCCTGTGACACAGTTAGAGTGTCCATGTACCCAGTCTTCTCTGGAGTTTCAATTCTTCTTCACTGCTTCCACACCAGGGTGATGTTCCAGGTTACTCACCAATAGCCACTCATGACACTGTCACGCCTCCTTCCTGTGTTTGTATTCCACCTACTCTGACCTTCTTCTTCCCTCCTCTGATCACTGTTGAAAGGGAAAAGGGAGGTAAGACCTTCACAGGGGTGTGTGTGTGTGTGTGGGAGAGAGAGAGAGAGAGAGAGAGAGAGAGAGAGAGAGAGAGAGAGAGAGAGAGTTTACCAATGAGATAGCTGGAGAAAGCCCAGCCACCTCTTAGTCCATTCTAAATGCCCTAATGTCACCAGCACTCTCCATGACCCACTTGTTGAAGCAGCCACACAAAGCCCATTTCAATGTTCGCTTTGGTGTCTCCCACTCTCAGGAAATATTTGACTTGATTCAGCTGCATGGTATCAGCTCTAAGTCTTCAGAGGGCTGACTGACCTTTGTGCCCTCTGTTCCCAAGCTGAAGAAATGAAAAAAATGTATCAGAGTGTACAGAGTACCCTAAAGAGTCATCCAGGGTGAATTGGACCTCTTGGCTAGGCCTTGCTGAGAGGACATTCATGTTACTGACTTGACAGGTGGTAGGTACTCCATGCATGACTGGGAGAGTAGAGTAGGCATCCCTGAGTTCAGATCCCAGCTCTGCTACTTGAGAGCTATGAGATTATGGACAGCAACCTCTGTGAGCCTGGTGTCCTGCTCTGTAAGCTTACAGTTGTAATACAGAAGGCCTCCAACTTTGCAATTTCCAACTTTTACCATGAGGCAAAAGTAGTACGTACATAGTAACAACTATACTCCAAAATTCAAATGTTGCTCCTTTTCCAGGCTAATAATATTATGGTCTAGAACTCTTCCCCAGTGCTAGGCAACAGCAGTGACAGAAGCTCCCACTTAGCCACATGGTCAAGAAGGTAAACAAGAGACATACCCATCTACTGTGCGGTAAGGTAGAAAACTCGTAGGACAGCCCCTATGCAGTAAACACTGCTCTCCCTCCCCTCCATGCTCCACTGGGCACACTAGGTAAGTATATTCGATATGTTTCAACTGAAGACACTTACAACTTACCATAGGTTCCTCAAGGGGTCACCCTCTTATGAGTTGGGAGAGATGTGTACTTTTTCTCACTAGTGAGTTTCAGTGAGACTATGCATCCACAGTGCTCGACACAAGATACACATCCAATCATTGGTGGCAACTGTTGGTTCAGGGGCTAGAGATGCCACGATGAGTGACACAGAGCCCCTATTCCCAGGGGGTTAAATGGCAGGTGTGTGAATAGATGACAGATGAGTAAGAGGGGATTTCTGAGGAGAGTTAGAACATAAAATAATGGGGGTCTGTGGAATTCCACAGCTAAGTATTGCAAACCGGTAACATGACTCAGTCAAGATCAAAGGTCTCAGAGCCAGAGAATCCAGAGTGGTGTGACTCTGTCCAAGGGTAGACCACGGAGCCAGAGCTCTGGTGTCCAAGGGCAAACCACGGAGCCAGAGCTCTGGTGTCCAAGGGCAAAAGAAGGGTGTCCCTGCTCTAAGAGAGGGAGCCCAGTGGCCTCTACCTTTTTGGCCATCTGGGTTCCCATCTGTCTGGACAGCACTCACATGAGAGTGGCCCTTACTAACTTATGTATCATTTCTCCTGTGAGACCTCACAGGCACCCTCTGTGAGGGTCACACTGTACCTGTGTGGGACAGGCACACTCTGTCAGCCCAGCTGACATCTGAAGCCATCCAGCCCAACCATAGTGCTAAGGGTTTGGGGGCTTGTCCAAGTCCTTGGACATCCTAGAAGACAATTCCTGAGTGGCCTCCACTCATCTTTGACCCCCAAGTCTTGGTATGGATAAGCTCTTGAGTCGCTGAGCCTAGTCTTATCCTTTCACATGTGGTACTTTCTGGTCCTCTCCTCACACCCTCTCTGGGAGAACTGGTGATGGTTCCTTTCCACAGAACCTGCAATAGTAGGTCAATAACATTGGGTCACACAGCTGTGTCTGAAGCCTAGACTGCCAGTCACCCCTTCCTTCCTCTGGGTCATGGTTGCCTCACCCATGAAATAAGAATTTACTCAAACTAGAAAATCCAACCCTTAGCTGGGCCATGCCACCTCTAGCCCAGAAAGCCATGGTTCCAGTAGCCTGTGGAGTCTTCTCAGAGTGCCAGGCTGTTGACTCCCAGGACTTGATTGACAATAAACATAATTAGCAAAAGAAATTACCACGTCCACAGGGCTACCGCTAATCTCCCTTTTAAAAGAGAGAGAGAGAGAGAGAGAGAGAGAGAGAGAGAGAATGAGAATATGACCAAAGGGAGGAAAAGGAGACAATTCCTGCTCCACCTGGCGCACAGAGAAAAAGAAACCATCTTCAAAGAGAATTCTTCAGTGACAGGCAGGTACAAAGCCAAGCTGCTTCATTGGGAGTGGAGAGGACTAGCTGTGTTTTGATGCCACCACCACATGGCAGCCCCCCCCCAAGGCCTCTGTTGCCCCCATCTTTACAGTGCTCTTCCTGCCAGAGGTTCCCCTCCACCTATCTGAAGGCTCCAGTGGCTGGGTCACAGACAAAGCCCATGGCCAATTAAACCCAGAAGGGCTCTTTGTTTGGTTTAAGTTTTGATTTGTTTGTTTAGCAAAATGTCAGGCCAATTAAAGTGAGCTCCAAGGGCCCTCAGCTCCCACACACCTGCATCACAGGAAGGCAGATTGAAGGAATCGGACCCTAAAGGAGGTGGGTGGGTGGAAAGAGCCAGCATAACCCAAGGAAGCCCTTGAGCTGTGGCAGATTGGCTTATCTGCCATAGCTGACCACTGGCACTGAGGTCAAGATACAAAACCTTAGGAAGCACAGTCCACTCTATGTCCCATGATCCAGGAAAATCCCTGTTCAAACTTGCCCAATGAAAACAAAGCTTATCAGACAGAAGGGGTATCTCCTAAGACCTGGTAATGAGACTACTGCCTCTCCCACAGGGATAGGAATCAATGAACCAAAGAA